AAGAACAGTGGAATTATATTCAAGAGATTTTTTTAATTAACTACAAAAAAATGAAATGTTTTTTTTGCAAGTTATTTATTTGGGTACACCTCAAACGATATGATTTAACTTTTTCTTTCCAAAATTTTAGGTAAAACTGCACGTCATCAAGAAGGATTCCGTATCGAAGCCCTCGATGCCCCCCACAAAATTCGTCTCCCTAGTCGACCAACAGACCCAATTCAACGGCATCCGCCCTCCCAATTCCCGCACAACATCGTCAAAAAAGTCCGAAACGTCGAAATCTCGCAAGCTTTCACACCACATAACAGTTCCTAGGAAGATCCTTCCGGCTCCGAGCAAACTCCCGGACAACATGCCCCTCCCCCACCACCCCCAGGTGAACTTCGCCCCGACGGTGACCCTCACCGCTGTCACCTTCCCGCCGAATTTGACGTATCTCCACACCAAAAGCCCCAAACCCCCCGACAACAACAGCATTTTCGTGCCGCAATTTGCCACAATCACCAACAACAACAGCACAATACCGATCATAAACCACCGAACTCCTTGCTTAAATGTGATACAACCTGTGCAGAAAATCATAAATAACTTTAATTGTGTCAAATTAAATGCAACGGTAGTGCCTATCGTCAAGTTGAATACGTTGCCTTCGAGAGTGGGGGGTTTTAGCGTCGAGACGGCCGTCCCGACGGTGCTCTCAGCTAAACTGCCGCCGACGACGACTATCACCACGGAGGAGAAGTCGTCACCGTCGCCGGCGGAGTCCTCCGATAGTGGGATTTCGCTGAAGGATAATTTGGAAGTGGAGGTTGTGGAAGAGGCGACTGTGCCGTCGCAAAAATCGCCCATTTTGTCACAACCGAAGACAATCAGATTTCCGCCGGCGAAACAGGAGAACAAGGACGATGTTAAGGATACCAAAAGTACGCATTCGCAAGAGTCGGGCTTGTGTAGATGGGCCGAATGCAGCGCACAATTCGATACCAGTGGGGCCTTATTAGAACATCTACAGGTGGGTACTAATTGGGGTACCTAATTGGGGTTTCATTTCATTTAAGGGGGCGACACTAATACTATCCACATTTGTATTAGACTACAAAATGAGTTTGTAATTTAAATTGAGGCCATTATGGTAATTGACTGAACTTTATCAAAAAAGCTTATTTGACTTTGAGCGACGAAAATCGACCAAAATTTTGAATTTTTTGACTTTTTGTTGCAAATACTTTTGAAATATGGTCTTCTAGACGTAAAATCACACGCTAAACACGATGCAACTAGTTAAAATACTCTACGATGCATAGTTTTTGAGATATTGAGTAATAAAGTTAAGAATAAGTCTAGAAAATTGACCAAAAAATAATTTTTTTTTATTCTTATAAAAAACTAGCACTATATGTAAAATTAACCGGAGAATAAGCGTGAATAAACCGCTTTGACCTAGAACTCATCGTTTTTGAGATATTAATTTTTTTTTGAAAAAACTAAAAATGGCTCTGTACCCGGA